GCCCTGGGCATTGACATCTGCTCCCTTGTCTAAGAGTAGCGCGATAATCTCTTGATGGCCTCGAAATGAGGCGGCTTGGAGAGCGTTGCCGTAGAAGCCGCCCTGGGCATTGACGTCTGCTCCCTTGCCGATAAGATCTCGCGCAGGCGCTATGAGCCCAACGAAGCAAGCATAGTAGAGCTTGGAACCTCGTGGAGGACCTGGGTCATCGACCCAATGCATATCAGCCTGATACAAGCGAGCCCATCGCTGGAACGTCACTTCCTCTTCTACGAACCTGACCGTCCCTCGAACTATATCTTCTGAAGCCTGAGCCAACGCAGCAAAGCCTGTCCAGACTTCCGCTGCAAATCTTGCCATCGGAAATTCCTGCTTGATCTTTTGGTGGCTACCATTAATGTCCGTAAGATATGTCAAGCATGTCCTCGTGATAGAAATGCTGGCAGTCGAAATCTTGAACCGATTCTCCCTAAGAAGGTACTCTTTGACAGAAAAGTGGGCAAGATGCAGCTCTTTATCGGTGGCGTGAACGAATGTCGCTAAGCCGGGGCAGTAGTCTAAAACATCTGTCTCGCAAAACAGTCGACGCTTGATATCAAATCCCTGCGACCCGTTTTCGATCTGTGTTGCTATTACTTCTTTAGCCTCGACCAGCTTGAGAGGTCGCTCGGAGTGTACTAGGAATTGTAGGAGCCGTATCGCATCGTTTTTGAGCTCCATCGGTATGCATTCAATCATGCGTCGGTACGTTTCTTCTAGGTTCCGCGGCAAAGATGCAAGCGCTTTCGCCATGTCCGCTTCGTGACGACATCGAGCCAGGCTGTCCAACTGACAGAACGCCCATCTGAACCTACGCAGAGCGTCAGCAAACCATCAGCATATCAATTGAAGCAATAATATCTCACATCCCGTCGGCTCCGTCGCCAATCTTCCTCCGGATCCCCTCAAGGAGATCCCGGGACAAGTGCTTGTTCCGAAATTCACGTCGTTGCGAAAGCTGTGCTGCGACGTACGATCGGATATCAGCGTTGATAGAGTGCTTGTCGAGTGCCAAGCTGTTTTCCTCGCCTATTAACGAGGGGATATCGCTTAGGAACTCGGCTTCAGGCCGACCGGTACAAATCAGCTGGACGTGGCCCAGATCTGGCCTGGAAACTACGTCCTTGATCCAGAGGAGTAGTTCGCGCCTCGTTGTCGACTCGTCCAAGGCGTCCAGAACGATAGAGACCTTCGTCTGGACTGTGAGAGTCTTGAATAAAACATCCGAGAGCGCCTTTGTCGCAATTTGGTCACGGCCATCCTGGTGTGCTTGGAATGAGGCGTTAAGAAGACCTGCAGAGGCACCGCGGCCTCGGTAGAGTTGGAAAGCAAGCGACCGCAGCATGCCATCCACAGTCTGCTTTTCCGTGTCGCCAAAGTCAAAGAAGAAGCTGAGGATAAGACGGTCGTTTCCCTTCTCGAGATGATCCAGCACAGTTGCGCTGAGAACCGTCTTTCCACATCCCGTGAGACCATACAACCACAAATGTCGACGCGACCCTGAGTGCCACTCCTGGAAGGCCGGGTTTTCTAGGAGCCACGCACCTGTCCCCTCATGGCGGAGCTCCCTCGCGTGGTTGGCGTTTCTAGACGGATCGGAGGGGCGAAGCCAGCGCTCGATCTTCTCGGTACGAAGGTCGGCCTGGATAGAATCAGTGGCTATTTTCGCTACACCTATGGTCTGCTGCATACTATCGATTTTTTGTTCAACTAAGGCAGGTCAGAATATGTTCGACGTGATATTATTACTCCGCCTTATTTATTCGCCAGGCCAGGACCCTGTCGGAGGATATGGATCACTAACCTGATTGAAGCATTTCCAGCGCTTTCTTAGTCTCCTGGACCTCCGCGGCCGGCACGTACGCCAGGAGCTCCTTAGTATACGCAGCGGCGGTGGCCGAGGCGTAACGTTGCCATCGATCGTTCTTGTGGGAATCGGCGTAGTCGCAGATCCCTCGGATCACAAGACAGGGAAAGTGGTTCATCAGGCCGGCTGCTTCCATCTCAAAGCAGATGCAATCCTCGCCGACGTCGGCAACAATCCGATCGCGCGCAGCGGCGTCTTTGACCAGCGTGTTGCCGGATGCGATGGTCCCGTAGTGGATATCGGGGTCGGTGGTGTCCCGAGGATCGCGTTGAACGTCGCCAGCCGCGTCGCAGCCCCGACAGTCCGGCCCGGAGACGTGGCCACTAGAAGCCTTGAAGAGGCGGTCTTTGTCGAAGCCCTGGTGAGTATAGCCAGGACTTATCTTGGATCTCTTGCCCATCTTCGGGTATTTCTCTAGCATCTGTTGAAGGAAGCAGCGAACTTTGGAGTCTTTCCGCTCGTGATCGGCCTGGATGCTGGCAAGCGCATTGAGGAGGACCGTCGGAGGCCGTCCGAGGAAGCCTTTGCGCTCACGCCTGTCACCAGGCTTTGCCTTGATCAAGTCGTACTGGCAGACGCCGCCTCTGGTCCCATCGGGCTGGCTCACGACAATGTCGCCTAGCCGGATATCGCGGTCATCGTCCGGTCGTGCGATGCCGCCGCCTATGCCGACCAGAAGACCAACACGGATGGATGGCAGAGAGGCAAGCAGGTTCGAGGCCGTGGTCGCAGCCGAGGTGGTTCCATAGTCTCCGGCGGCAAGACTGACGATAACGATGTTGTGCTCTCCCATACGACCCCATGTATAACGGTTCGCGTCGATTTGGTGCCTAGCGAAGCCAGTTGGAGGCGCATGTTCCTCGTCGAACATCGCTTCTGCAGCGGCCCGCTCGATGGGAAGAGCTGCGATCCAGGCGACCGCATAGGAGTCGGGGCTGTTGAGAGAGTTGCGGGGTGCCATGGTGTGGAGGGAAGCGCGCCAGGCCGGCAGATGGGCGGGTGGAATGACAGGTTATGCGGTTCGCCTCGGTCAACGAAGAAGCTAGAGTTGAGTCGCCCTTGAAGGACAAGGACGACGACCGCAGCGGCAGAGAAAGGCCATTATTAGTTCTGGTCCAAGGCTGCGTTCGTTTTCCGGTCACTTCGCAGCTTGTTCTCCGCGACCTCAGCCTTGCGCTTTGCGACCTGACCAGGCGCTAATGCATGCGTCGCGCTGGGACATTCATGATCGCGTGCAGTCACATTTTAACGCAGTCCTCTAATATGGCGCCGAACCACAGGACGAAACTAACTCTCGATCATACATTCAGTAACGGATATCGAGGACTGCTGGAATTTCCCGTATCAAATCGATCCGCATCAAAGTCAACCTCTGCAAACTCTACTTTGATCCTCCACACCTTTTTAGCCTTAGCCCCCACGGGTGCGGAAACCAGAAACCAAAGCCGAGCAACACGTTAAAAGAAACTTTTCGTAGCGCGGCTACAGTAAGAGGCATTCTCAGCAAAGTCCAAGTATGGCAAGTAACGACGGTGTTCCCGTTTCTGCACGCAGGGAGTTCTGCGTTTGCCAGGAGTGGTTAGACAGCGGCAGCCACAGGCGAATTCAGCCAAGACCTTGGCATGAACAATATAGCGCATTACTTAAGTTATGATACGTTAATGAAGTATAGTACGTGTATAATCGTATCGCGCTAGCTAGGAGCGTTCCACGATCTGACTCGAAGTACCGACCGGCGTGGCGAACTTTCACGCTGCAGTAGTCACGGTCGTTGATAATGATATCTAACTTCGTACCGCGACCCTAAGGCTTAGATATGAACTTCCTATGTTTTTAAAAGTTCGATTCAGTTCGATGGTGGCGCTGTGGTAGAGATATTCTGGTATGCTAAGAAGGTAGACTCTTCGTAAATCGGGCTCGGACACAGCCACGCTAAGGTAATTTTCTTAGTAGGAGGGTCTCGAATATTAAGGAACGGCTACAATTCAATATTTAAACCGAATTTAAGAAATATCAATATGTGTGCAGTGTCTAGCTTGCTCTGAAGTCGAAGTACCTATCGTTTTGCTCGGCACGCAGGGGTGCCCGGCACACAGAGAGGGAGGTTACTGTCTCTGCTCAGACTGATTTTGGGAAGAGCATCATCTTTTATGCTATCCCAATCTTTATCGGCAAAATTGCCATCCAGTTGATTCCTTCAAGCAAGCTTGGAGAGGAGCAGAAGAGGTCAGGCCTTGCCTTGTTACAGCGGAGACCAAGCGCACGAATCCGAACCTGTTAAAGGAGATTGCAGCTGGATTATACACCCATATCTTGATGAGTCCTGAGCAAGCAGTTAGCGACGAGTTTCATGATTCGCTGTCAAACCCTAGTGTCAAGGACGTAGACACGTAGTGATGTTGTCTGGAATACGTGCATTGTACTACATGTGAAAGATAATATTAGTACAAAGGAGGAAGATCCATCAAGCGGAGAGTCTCCCTGATATGTAACTTTTACAAAAGCACTCAGGCGTTGGTCATGTGATGTCATGTGATATTATAACCGGCCAATGTCTGAACCGTGACGGACTGTAGAGTGGTTGGATTGGTCCTAAAACTTGATGAAATGTAGAAGTCAACGCGTAGAACCAATTTCTGAAAACAGATTAGCGATAAACATTCTGTATCAAGTACACTTAGCGATGGGAGTTCTCTCACCTATTTCATGATATGATGCTCTACCATCCACACAAACTCTGCAGACTTCTCTCAGACGGCAGTGGTGCCCTCTGGCTTTATGGCATATGATTGGTCAATATTTAGTGGCGAATGCTAAAAAAGAGGCTGGGCTTCATTGGGTATATAGCGGAGCCCCATAATGGCCAGGGGGCACCATTGCCGCCTGAGTCCCAACTGAGATAAGGGTAAGGGGCAGTATCATGGCCTTGTGGCCTAAGGCCAACCTACCTCCGGGGGGACGAAATTGAATTACTTTTCTTGGCATTCCCCCAACGACCATGACCACCATCACAGGCAGACCGCGCTTCGCACGGGCAGGTCCAATTCGCTCAAAAGTAGCATAATATCAAAAAGTGTACTCTTTTCCTAACTCGGCGATTACCAGAGGTCTGTTTTGACGAATTCTCCGCCGCGGTCTACCACCATCCTACAGCGAAGCCGCATCTCTGCGATTCGCGCCCGGATTTCCTCCATCGTGATCTTTTCCCACTCCTCAACCAGTATCTGTTTCAGTTCGTCTAGGGTATCCCATATTCTACGCTTAATACGCTGCTTGAGGATGCCCCAAATCGCTTCAATCGGGTTAAGATTAGGCGACTGCGCAGGATGCTTCAATCGATAGATCCAACATCGATCCTTGAGGCTACGAGGTAGACTCTTGCCCTGCGTCGTCCCATGTGATCGATCATTATCCTCCTGAAGTATCATATGAGCTCCATCCCCCCAATCATCGACTCCAAAACAACCCCCGTCGCGCTCCACGCGCGCGGCGTTAATCTCGTCGATATATAGAGGGAGGAGGTTCTCGGCGTAATATTTGGCTGTCATAGAATTTCCTTTCCTCTTTACCTCCACAGGATGGTGCGATTCGTCGTTCCATTTCGCTAATTTCGCTTCATACTCTTCGACCGTTTCTACACTACTTTTCCGGGGCATTCGCGGTCGCTTAGGGGCCTTCGGAGGGTCTTCAGACTTGTCGTGATAGAATTGAGCTCGCCCTTATGCCAGTATGAAATAGAGGCTGCAAAATGAAGAGCATTTCCAGACCTCTTAGGCCTAGCCTGTAGGTTTTCAGGCTCAAGCCGCTTGCCTTCCTCTCGTATAACCCGCCCTTTTGTCTGCTCGTTGGGGTCGACATGCGCCTCGTCCGTAAAATCAATCTGATCCCAATATCCGAAGAGGGGCTGTTCCATTCCGAAGCGCCCATAGTCCATTCTCTCTCTCTTATTCTTAGCTGAAATGGGTTTGACTTGCTCCATCTTAAAACGCGAGGCTTTACGACGATCGCGGAGGTTTGCGCGCAGGCGACGAGGCGTGATATCAAAGTTAAACCATTCAATATTAGCCTCATGAGGACGGTCTCGAACAGGATTGCCTGGGGATAATATCATATCCAATTGAGGGTTAGAAATAGCTCGATTTCGCCCTAATTCATCGCTTATTCTGCGCGATCGCCGACATACACGGTCTCCGACTTTACCGCGATGAGCCGATGACGCAGCCATGTTCTCGCAGTTGCAGGTTCAAGGCGAAAGTCAAGGCGTTTGCAAACGGTAGGCACCTTTTCGCCGTCATTCCGGTTGTCGTAGAGCGCGAAAAAGTGTGATTTTTTGGTTGTAGTGTATTCATGACGTTTAATCGGTTTATCTGGCGTATTTGGACAAGAATCCATCAAACATTGAATGCGGTAGAGTAAGTTGATGATAGTCAGAAGTTGGTGGTTAAGGTCGCGGGAGCTGTATGGTTGGGGGAATGCCAAGAAACGTAATTCAATTTCGTCCCCCCCGGAGGCTAGTAAACTTAACCTCTACATACTTGTTTCAGTGAATTCAGTCCTTCAGCAAACTACCCTCTGCCCACCAGGTATATCCCAAAAACAAATTATATCGCTGCCAGTTGGTAAACGCTTAATCGATCCGCGTTCCCACACAGCTGGTCCCTATTCCCTCCACAAGTCATACTGCACTGGCTGATGTCAACCTGGCCGGCCCCTTCAGTGAAATCATTTCCGCACCAGCACTCAATGCTCCACTCAGCTCCGAAGTACTGATAATCGCTGCAGAAATCGGCACACGCCTCTAATGTCATACCAGGGCTCGCAAACGAAATTTCCGTTAATGTACGGTGCGATGGACTGTCGGTGACGCAGCCGTACAACTCGAAGTCGTTGACGTTATTCGGGTGCTGCGGACCAGTCCAGTTGTCGTTGTGGTAGAGCGAGAGACGTTGTGAGCCGCCGCATATCTCCGTTGTGTCACCGATGCATGGATAGTTGCACTCAGACAATGGAACTGGAGCTGATCCCGCTGTCAGTTCCTCGTCGCACCAACACTCTCGGCTCCACTCGGTGCCGAAGTACGGGTAGCGAGAGCAGAGTGCCGCGCATTTTTCAAGCGTCATATCATCAGCACTGGCATATGTGGCGGGAAGTGCTCGACCGGTAGGTGGCTCGGCATAGCAGGATACAAAGTTGTAGTTACCGACCGGCGGAAAACTTGCTGGGTCGGTTGGTATTGTAGATCCCGTTGTGCTTGTTGCCGACTGGGTCGAGGAGGAAGTCGAAGATTGAGAGGGGGTAGCAGAACTAGTCGAGCTAGAAACAGTCGAGCTCGGAGTAGGAGGGCTCAGGCCGTCGCGGAATATCACCATTGTAACCGACATGAACCTTGCGTCGAGCACTAATGTAGACATGCGTGTCAGCAAGCACAACACCCGCACTACATTTTTGGGGAGACGTTACAAGCGTTATGTGGAGGTGTATATCGGAATTCATACGTGTCTCCCGCTGTCTGTATGCCGATCTGCCCACCTACCACGGGTGGATCAGTGAGGCGGGACACAAGTTCCAGTCCGATTTGCAGCTCATCCGTGTCCGGATTACAGCTGTATACCGGCTGAAAGATGGCGGTTGGGTGGAAAGTCCGGTCCGTCATAAACATCTTGGTAGTGTCATCGGCGGGGTTATACTAATGAAATTACCTCTCAATATTGCTCGTCCCAGAATCTATAGACCGACCATGAGAACCTTACCTCAAGATCGATAACGGCATGACGGCCTTCATATTGGAGAAGGCCATTTTCAAGATACATCAGGTCAAAGGTAGGCTCGCCACTTGGGCGCAGCACCAGATGTTTATCCTCGCCATTTGGCCGGAAGTTCATGACGCGGTTATGAACTATCGGAATGGATGCATTCTGAACAAAGATGCTGAACTTCTCGGGGATGTTATTCGAGAGTGGCTCGTCGGGGATCACGCACGCGAACGTGCTGGCCACGGCTCCCAGCAAAGCTAGGAGACGAGTACTCGGTAAAGGGCGAGGCATCATCTTGGTAGGTGGGTGGTGATGGTAACGAATGCAGGCCAGAGAATGACAACGCTACTATGGTAAACTTATAATTGGAGGAATTCTCAACAGGATGGCTCATTGTCAGTACTTATCCTGCTCATTATCCTTATCTAAGTTCTAGACTTTAACCAGGTGAGTTTGCGGTGATAATGTATCTTAGCCATCCTGTGCAGCGAATATATATCACGGCGCATACCAAGACAATAGTCGGCGCCACCTAATATATATTGACGCACCTTTCATGGCTATTGAAAAGGGGTCAGCATGGGAAAGGGTCGACATGAGAAAGGGTCGACGTATGAGAAATCGTCAGGATCGTAACGAGTCCAATGTCAATTGATTGATTGATTGATTCCTGCGGGTGCACCCGTTCGGGCCAGCCTCGGTCGGCCCTGCCAACCCCACCGCCCTTTTCGGTTGGGTCTGGGCCTCCGCCACAATCTGATGCTCCAATGCTACGGATGCAGAACCAAAGGCAAACAACATCACACATGTTGCTTCAGAGCAAGCCCTCGGTTCATTCAACATCTCCTCTTCCTCTGTATTAAGTAGTCAGTGTCCAATAAATTTCCTCGCAAATGCTCACCAGTCACTCCTCTTCATCTCTCTCGCTTTCTCCGCTTCTCCATCCCTCTCTTGTCCGGCCACCCAACTTAACGGAACGATGCCGGCGGAGGGACAACCATCCCGGCAAGCCGGGTCAGTTGCGAAAAGACGGAAGATAAGTCTAGCCTGCGAAGCCTGTCGCACTCGCAAGGCACGATGCAATGGAGCCAAGCCACAATGCGGGAACTGCGTCCAGCGACATGAACGATGTGTGTATAAGCGGACCAGCGCACATCTCGCCGATACCAACGAGTACATTGATTCGCTGTTGAATCGGGTTGCGGACCTAGAGGGTGAAATTCAGCAGTCGAGAGATGCCCTATCGGCGGCCTCAGCGATGCAGTTGCTGGGCCAAAGTCAACCTGGAACTCCTTCCGCGGGTCTAGGCCCAATTCTGGCGAGCGATGGCCGTCGTCGCGAGAGCCACGAGGCGCTCCTTTTGGCGGCTGCAGACACTCACCAGGATCCGAAATCGATCTCCCCAACTAATTGTATCGTCGACATCTCCAGTCCAGTGGATGGAATGGGTGGAAACGCCAGTAGTGTGGATTTGCCCGACATGGATGAGAAATTTTACGGCAGCTCCTCCTCCATGTCATTTATGAAGCAATTCTATAATATGATCTTGCGTAACGGCGATACTGCCGCTGCGCCGCAAACCGAAGTCAGCGGCTGCAGAACGACAGTAAACGAACCTCAACAGAATAGCGGCTCATTACCAAGGCCGTGCTTTGGCGGTCCGGAGAGCTTTTCTTTAATGCCCCGGGTTTTGACCGACTACCTTTTGGACCTGTACTGGAATCGGTCACATCATGTATATCCATTCTTGCATCGGGCGACGTTCATGGCAGCATATGAGCAGCTCTGGGCCCCTGCCTCTACTCAAAGCATACCGCAGCGACCCCGTCTTGGACTTGGTGGATCAGACCAGTGCGGATATACATCATCAGTATTTCACTGCGCACTCAATGCGATGATGATACTGGGAGTACAGTTTTCTGACCTGCCGCTGGCGCAAAGGAATAGTCTGGTCGCGACCCTGACATTGAAATGCAAAAGCCAGTTCGATCTCGACCTCTTTGACGACGGAAGTATTCACGTCATCCAGACCCTCTTGCTACTGGTCCAAATCTTCCAGTTCACGACGTTCCCCACTCGATGTTGGAGTACCATGGGGGCAGCGTGCCGACTTGCCCAAGGTCTGGGCCTCCACCTCCCCGACGGGCAGCTGCATGGCCATTTCGAACCTGTTGAGATTGAGTTAAGGAAGAGGATCTGGCATGCCTGCGCGATGCTAGACATGATCGTGAGCATGACACTCGGGCGGCCCGCCATGTTACATCAGAGCTCAGGGGTCGCATTGCCAACCGCAATTGATGACGAGTATCTCGACCGGAACCAACCGCAGCCGCTAGATCAAGTCTCATATATGGAATTCTTTGTCGAATCGATCAAGCTGGACACCACTCTAAGCAAGATATTGTCTCGAATATATGGCCAGGAGACCGACCGGTTAGACACCCTATGCGGGTACGGAAGCTTCGATCTGCTCATTGAGCTTGACAGAGAGCTTGCCAAGTTTGCGGACCAAGTACCAGAGACTCTCAAGTGGACGTATGAAGATGGGGAATTTCTCCGTCGTAGCCCACCACTGGGACAACAAACCAACATCCTGCATGCGAGACACCTCCATCTTCGCATCCTCCTGTTCCGACCAAGTTTGACTCAATTCTGCCGACTGAATTCTTCGTCCGCGCGGTTCACATCATCAAAGAAGGACCGGAGCAATGCCTCGCCAGCATCATCTCTGGCGACATCTTTCGCTCAATGTTCGTCTCTGACCTGCGTGAGAAGCGCAATTGACCTTATCGACATGACCGAACGGCAAGCCGCGACCAATGAATCCGGAGCATGGTGGTATAGCATGTTCTACATCCGGACCGCCGCAATGGTCATCCTCCTTGCGGATGTCTGTGCTCCAGTGCGTGAGTCCATTGGGAGCGCCACGTTGGCTTCGTCCTGGCAGAAATGTCGAACCACCCTTCGTTATAAGCTGCCTCAGGAGACGTTGGTGCAGACGTGTTTGCAGACGTTGGAGAAAATGCACGAACAAGTGCTCACCCTTCGCTCGATATCGAACCCTGCGGATCTTGGACTGGGGAGTGGAATCGGCATTGGCCATGGCCAAGTATCGACAGAGCAACAAGAGGGACATTATGCTCCTGCTGAACATGTAGACTCTCCAACCCTGATCGACGGCTTTAATCTCCACCTTGAACCTCATCAGTACAACGAGTATCTTGGAAGCATTTTCAACGATTCTGCCTTCAATTTCGCGATGGATGAATATGGGATGTCCTTGCTTTGACGGATATCATCTACCTACCTTAGACTAACAGCCAAAGCGTCAGTGGAGCGTGTTTCAACAGCCGCCGCGTCCAGTTAGGGTAAGAGACTTCGGTCAGAGCGAAGATCCGATGCTTCGACAGGACGATCTGCGCCCAACTTTGCGTCTCGTTGATGATTGCCGGCACGATTTCCGTGGCGGTGCAGCCGTTACCGAGACGACGACATCTTTCCCTCACAGGGCGATGCTGGTATCCCAAGGGGCGGAGCGGAAGATGGGCCTTTGAAGCGTTCGACACCCGGACTATCGAGCTCGCTGGGATGCACCAGCTGGTCTGCTGCTAAGAAGAGAACCTGGCACTCGTGGACCAGCCGCTCGCCAGTGTTCAGGTCACCCGCGAGGATGCGCCGTCTCGAGGTTTCCCCTTGCCATGTACATGGTGAGTGATAGTTCTATAAGAAGAGCATAGCTGGGGTCACCGTTGGGTTTCCCAGCTTGGTCCTCGGTACTCCTACTTATGCGACTTCTGGAGTACTAACTGTAGTCAAACAGCTGCATCGCAAGTTCGTTAGGAGCTGAGCTGCCTCTGAAGTCTATCTTCCTTTTTGAGGCGTTCTCGAATTCCACTGATTCCGCTTCCATATCCGCGGGATCGGCCCGAACTTTCACGAACTCTACTGGGATCGACCCGGACTTTCAAGGTTTAGGACTTGACGGTACCGACGTAATGATTGATGCAAGGACTGAGGCTCAGAACATAATTTTGACTCTTGTTTCGATCATTTCATATAGGAATAACCGCATTTCTATTCCAACTGAGTGGGGTTGTGGTGGAATATTTTCGGTGACGGGGTGAAAATGGATTAATATCCCGAATGGGGACAATATGCAACGAACGAAACAAGCGTGCCATCGAATGCGATACCCATCATGTAAAATTAAGCTTGCTCCGGTGATAAGTTTTCCGTGTTCAGTATCATAGAATAGCCATTCTTGGGGTTGTGTTAGTACACGCGGGATGATTCCGGTGAGAGACATTAGGATTCCCCCTATCCTCCGGAAGCCTCCATGAACAATACAAGCTCGACACCATGTTCCGAACTAGCTAGATGCATTGTATGAGAGTCAAGAGCACCGTTAGCAACTAAGATTTAAGATTTTGAGATTTTCCAGTTTGCTCCACACGGCGCACAGCGGACAGGGACTCACTCTCCTCGCAGTCTCATACAAACTCCTACTCAACATCATCCGCGGTTCCACACTCTCCCAACTCCACGACCTGTTACTCCACCCATGCCTCACCATAGCGATCATCCTCACGTCCTAACCATCTTCTCTCCCTGTCAGATCCATGCCGTCATTGAAAGCATGGTATCCCTCAACGGGGTATCTAGATAATGCTACTTACACTTGATGACTGAACAGCGGTCTGAGAGTGCATCGTCATCAAATCCCCTACTCCGCAAACTGCAGGACATCTAGCCTCTTCGCCTCATCCAAAACCAACTTCTCATGCTTTGGACTCCGAACGGTAACCTTCACCGGAAAGGGTTCATCGATTCTATGATGATTGAGTATAATCGGGTTGATATCGCCATCCTATCCCAGTCAGTGAGTCGATCTCCTGTAGCGGGACGTTCCGTCACGGCCACCGAGCACATACCGGAGCATAGTCGAAGCAGTAAACCAACCGTGCCATATTGATGAACAACCCCCTCTGCGCAAGCCGATACCCCACACAAATTCGCCGCCCTCCACCAAACTGCCACAACCCGTGAGCCGCATCCATCTCATGTCCATCTAGCCACCGCTCCGGCCGAAATTCATCCGGATCCTCACAGGCGTTGCAGACCGGGATTCCATTAATGACGAAGCCCACGCCCGCGGGGAAGTGGTACCCCTCGAAGTCGAAATCCGCCGTCGCCGTGTGGTCGGGGGTCAGCGGGAATATCGGCCGCCAACGTAGCACCTCTTTGATCATGGCGCAGATGTACGGAAGGGCATCCATGTCGGCGAGCCCGGGCAGCCGCTCGGCGTTGGATCCGCAGACCCGGTCGACTTCGAGCCGCGCTTGGCGGAAGGCGTCCGGGTGGCAGAGGGATGCCATGACGAAGACGTTGAGCGCCTCGCGGGTGGTGTCGCTGCCGGCTTCGATGAGCTGCATGGCGACGTACATGGCGTCCTGATCGTTTCCGGTATACTTAGTGCTCTCGGCCAGGAGCACATCGCGGACGAACGAGGGCGGCGCGGTGCCGTTGACGATCTGCTCCTTCACGGGGAGCCACCATGATCGGTAGATGTCGTAGTTCCACCGGTCCAGGCGCTCCCAATAGGGTCGCCAGACCTGCAGAAACCGCGGTAGGTGATCCAGGTCGGGAAACCAGTCCACCAAGCTCATCCCGATGCTCCCAACGAACTTCGTGACCACGTCCTGCAGGTCTTCCAGCTCCTTCCCCGACTTCATCAGCCGCTCCCCTAGCGCGATGCGATGCACCACCGAGTTCGCGTACCGATAATGGTGCCTGAACCAGCGTCCCGGCTGCCGCAGATACTCGGCCATCATCTGCGCGCTCTCCAGCTCCTGCCAGGCACCGTACTGTGTCAGCGCGGCGCCGCTGAGGAGGTGGTGCATGACACGACGGGGCTCGGTCCAGCTGGACGGCGGGAGCAAGAGGGAGCGGCGGGAGCGGCTGACGATGCCGGAGGCGATGGGCATCGGGGAGCGGCCGTTGGTGAGGGTGCCACGCTTGGCGATGATTTCAGAGACGACGCGCGGGGAGTTGAGGAGGATCCAGGTTTTGGAGCCGAGATGGATGGTGGTCATTTCGCCATATTGGGTAAGGGATTTTAGCTGTGGAGGATTAACGATGGGTTGGTCGTGCGGTTGGAGCAAAGAGTACATATTTGTGTTCTGGATCATATCTGTTGTTCTTGAAGTCTAGTAGACTGCCTAGGAGGAAGACTCCTGGTGGCCCTGGTGGTAGTCGAGCTTTCGAACTTCGCTTCCCGATGGGTTGGAAGATTTTCTTGATGACTAGAAGAGATAAAGTCACCGCAGCTAGCAACAGACTCACGATAGCTTTGGCGGGATGCTCACTTGCGAGTACAAGTAGCTCACTATGGATGGCCATGACTATTATTAAGTGGTGACTTGATACAGAAAGACAGTGACTCCGAGCTGAAAAGCTTCCCTCAAAACGCACAATCGAAACTAAGAACGCTTTCAGGAAGAAAAAACATCGACTCTTAAGATCATAGCTGGAAATGGGTAGTCCTGTCGTAGTGCGTTATTGTGTTGCTCTTCTTCAACATTACGAACCCCGAGTTGACACCGGAACGTTTCCGGACCCCTCGTGGCTAAAAAGTACACTCATTCGGAACGATCCCGGCCGTCCAGTTGAATAAGAAACTTAAATCTATTAACTTATGATAAACGTTGTAAAGATCGTGCCGAGCAAGGCACCTCAAACTCCGGCTCGAATATCCCCACTGCCTTGTGTGACCAGACGTGTCGCGGCGTGGAGCTGATATCGATGATGGAATCCGGGTCTGCACAGTGATCCATCGGATGCGGATTTTGTTGTTGATGAGCACCACATGCTGGCACCTATCGTCATATCGGCACTCTCGCTATCGGCTTCCAGATATCATACGATACCGTATTTTTTCACCCTTCCCGAGCTCCTTCTGCGCTTCTTACACTCACGTCACCGATCCCACGGCTGCCACGTCGTCGATACACACAAATCAACCACCGCGACCGGTTCCTGGTTCCCTGGATCCGTCAACCAGAGACGCAAAAAGGGGTCCATCTGCGACCTGCGTGTACCCGGGTGGGAAACGGGGTGAAACAGGATCGGCTGGCGGGGTTGATACACGTCTCATCTTGTATTCACATTCCGGGTAGTGATTGATGTGTTGAGCTTGTGGTTCGTGATACGATTTCTTGTTTGGAGGTCGGCGCTGCGACGTACTGACAGGTCCTCGTCGGATAGGACTGTGATGGACGGAATATTCACGGATCAGATGGCTGACCCAGCCTCCATCATCGCAATTGAGTTCGCTACGGTCTGGCTGCACGTAGAGTAGAACGATGACCGACTACCTCTCGCACCCGTTCAGTCCATTCTAGACTATTGTCTATTGAAATCTTCCCGTTGCACTACAGCGGCTATGCATCCCTCGGCGAGCGATGTTGAAGTGGGACAAATATTAAGGCATCTCCGATGCACAACATCCATCCATATGTCCCTTCCGTTTAATCCAATCCAATGATGCGCTTCACGTACCGACAAGAAGTTCAAAAAGCCCCGACAGTGACCCAGCCACCTCGTCCCCCACCAACCGAACCCTCTCCCATTCAGCGCCCCCGAATTTTTTTTAAAATGGCCCTCCAAACTCAAAACTTCAAATGAATTGCGGACACGGCCTCGGACGCATCCTAGTTTTCCGCCGATCATGGGCCTTTGACGGTCTTGGACCGCCGAGCGAGCCCGGGTTGGCCAGTGGCGTGCCGGTCGTCGGCAGGAAGCGGGTCAAGTCATGACAGCGGGAAATTGGTTAGCGTTCGGGGCTAGGAGGGGGTGGGCTCGTTTATTAGTTGGCGCGGTTGCGGTTGGGGTGGTGATGGTCGCTGTCTGATGGCTGGAGGGTGAGATGAGATGTGAGGGTAGCGATGGGAAATGGGCAACGGAGAACTACGGTGATGTGACGATGGGGGGAAGAGGAGTTGGGTCTCAGATGAGTTAAGAATTGGAAAGGGGGTGTCGAGCAATCGTCAATGGTAATAAGGAAGGTTCCTTGATGTTGGACATTTGGCGCGCGCGATTATTATTCTCGAACGTCTTCATATCCCGGAGGCGCTGTGTGTCACGGGTCACGACATCCGTCGGACTTTGACCATGTGCTGGGGGGAAGCTGGGGCTCGTTGATCCATCGTTGACGATTGGAGGGAGGGCTCGCATGGCGGCATGGCAGAACGCTCGGGTGGTACTACTACCCAGGAAGGAACATGAGGCTGCACGTCGAGGATCGTATACGGAGAGCTGCTATCGGAGTGATGGTGGCGGTGGTACAGTTGTTGACAAAATGACGAGACTTATTATTTCACAGCGTATTAAGAGCAATCGGAATGGGTGGCAAGAAGAGGGCTGGGATGAACACGGGCAATTCGGGGATTAAAGGACAGGGCATACCTGGTCGTCTCTACTCAACCGAATTGCGAGGCAATACTCGATACGGATGACGGATGACGGATGACAGATGACGGACACCAGAATAGCATGATAGCGTATCTGATAGATGAAGGTAGGTTTCATCTTTCAAGGCAGTCGAACCCCAAGGTTAAATTTTCGTTCATAAACTTTGTAGTTCATACACCTGATGGGAGTTGCGACATTGTTGCCTACTGCCTAACTACCTTATCGTTATGCGATAATCACCACATTCGACGTGATCGACCCTCTTCAATTCTTCGATCAACGTCGCGTAATAGATGCTCGAGGCTAGACCAGACCGCTACTTCCGATAGACTTCTTAGACCCCGTGCTGATCCATCCTCTCGACATCTGATCTTCCAACTTCCTCCTCTCTTATCCGCGATCATCCATCAATCCATGAAACCAATATTGATCTTACACACGGATTAGCTATCGTAACCTTCGGGCGGGATGATTGGATGGTGGGCGGGGTGGAGATGCAGGCCCGCACGATAGGGAGGTCATGCGACACCTGCAGCTCACCTCATGCATGCAGCTGCCAACTGAACAGCCAACCGCCCTGCACCGGACAGGAGACTGGACATTGGGATATTTGGATGTTGGAGATTTGGAAATGGGCTGTGGAATCGACTGGACTCGAGGGAGGAGATTTGCGTGATGGGACTTGGATGGCTAATGGAGCTGACTGTTAAATAGTGGAGAGGGAATACCTCTCCAATACCTCTCCAGGGTAGAGGGCAGAGGGCAGAGAATCACGTTTGATGGGCGTTGGATTGGCGTGTGGCTGTATATCACCACACCCTAGGGCTACTGCCAGATCTGGATCGAGTTCATCCTTCTTCGCGTTCCAACAGTTCATAAAGATTAAAGATAGACCTTCTCATCTAACTTAGAGCATCTATCAGCCGAGAAAGCATGCACACAATGGCGATGGGTCGGATGGAATAATAAACTGGGAAGTTGGAGTTCCGATGGATCATTGGTCCACAGGAAGCTTTTGACGAACGGGAAGCTCATTTAAAGTAGCGCCCACTAACTGGCGCCATTGGGTGGAGAGGAGGGTCCGCTTGGCGCCTGGACTAGCTGGCCATGGTCAATAAAATAATGAATTCGTGATCCATCATTTCAACCATCGATCAATCAATCCGTCACCTCAGCATCATCACCATCATTATCATCATCCTCATCAAAGGACTTCAGCTCATCAAATCCATCGAGTTCATCGGAGTTCTGTGAGCGCAGAGTCGACAAGTAACCTCTAACAACCACACCAAACTTCCTGTTCAACATCCGTTCAGCCAGCAAAGTAGAGCCCCAACAACCGTCACTGGACCCCCAGCACCGTTGCGGACCCTTAGGTTCTCAGGCCCTAAACCCTGGGCCGACCCCGGGCGCCCCCCTGCAGCTTGGCTGACGCTAAAACCCTCCAACGCCGCCTCCTTTCCCACTTTCCCTCCATCCACCACCAACCTGTCCAAGTGTCCAGACAGTCCAGGGAGTCCACAGTCCAAGTGTCCAACACTCCACAGCACCACAGCAATCAGCACCGACCACAGCACCGACCACAGCATCGACCATCTCCCAATCCTCAACCTCCCGCTCTCATATTTCTTCCTTCTCTTCCTCTTCTCTCCTCCTTCTCACCTTCTCATCACAATAATCACCCGCTTCCATCCAAACGTCTCCCTTGACTCCCCATCCGACTTCATTGTCATTTGCTTCTTGAGATACCCCAGGCTGTTAGCTGACTTGCTTGCTGCCTACCTCCTAAAGATACCCCTAAAGATACCCCAAGATACCCCAAAGATACCCAGCTCATTCTGAAGCTTCGCGTTTCATTTCCCAGACTTCCAATTCTTCGTGAGACTTGGCAACTATTATCGTTGTCATCATCACCGACTTGTAATTACCGTAGCAACTTCCATCGCTACTTCTAGGTATGTCATCTCTCCTGCCTCTTTTGACTCCTCGTTTGTTTGTTGCGGACGATTCGCATGAATTCGTCTTCCCTCCTCTCCCCCAACCAACTCAACACAAACACCCACCTCATCTGAGTGTGCTTGTTGTTTTTCTTTCGCAAAGAAACCAGTCATTTCTCACCCGCTTCATTCGCCAAAAAAGTCCTGGACTCTTACAAAAAACCTAGTCACGCAACCCTCGAGATTACTTCTTGTTTGCTTCTTTTGCATTTGCAAAACAGAGATACCCCATACACCAACAAACTTATAATCACCCTCATCATCAACCATGTCGACCGAAGCCACCAAGCCCACTGTCGTCGCCGACGCTCCGGCTGCCGTTGTCGAGGTCACCAAGCCTGAAGAGACCACCACTCCCGCAGCTCCCGTTGTGGAGGACAAGCCCGCTGAGACGGCTGCCGAACCTGCTGCTGAACCTGCTGCTACTGCTGTGGAGGAGGCCAAGCCGGTTGAGAAGAAGGAGAAGCCTGCTGTTAAGCCCATCGAGCCGATCACTGAGGGTTCGTTGAAGTACAAGGCTCCAGGTCTCCATATTTCGTAAGTGTGGCCCTTTCTCTGACAGCATGTTTTCGTGTATTTGGAATTGGTGCTGACTGTTGGTGATCAGTCACTTCGTTCCTCAGAAGAAGTACTTCTGGCTCGGCACCGAGGAGGCTGTCTCAACCCAGAGCCTTGCCTCGTATCTTCGTGGCGAAGAGCCGAAGATCTCTCAGCCCACTGCTGCCTGGGCCTCGCAGACCGGAAAGGGACTGCTGTTCTTCTCCAAGACCGCTGAGCTCAAGGCTACCCCCGCTCACGTGTTCAACCTGGTAAGTTCACGTGACTATACCTCACAACAACCTGGACACCAAACTAATATCAATGTTCTACAGGCTGAAATCACTGACCTCGAGAAATCCGGCATCCAAGACCTCTCCTTCAAGCTCGATGGCGAGAAGAAGGCCGAGAAGCACGTCCTCGAGGCCATCAATAGCCGTGAGCGTGACGGATGGTTGTTGGCGCTGAAGGCCGCATCCGAGGATGCGAAGGCCAAGAAGGAGGAGATCCTCAACAGCGAAGGCTACAAGGCGAGCATTGCTGAGCTCGGTATGTTGCCCCAATTTCAATTTTGAGTGGTGTTTTCGAAAACGGTTACACGTCGGCTGTTGCCAGGTGCAAAAGTAAAATTTTGATGCGGACTTCCCCACAAGCCCATGCAACATCGTTGCCCCTGCATCACTCCTGCAAGGGCCATCACGCCGCGTTGAATTTAGCAGCGCTAGCTTCACCCCAGTTCACTCAACGAAACATTAATAATTCAATTATTACCATGAAGCTAATATCATCCTCCCAACAGGCAAGCCAAACACCGTCGCTGCAGTTGCCCCTGCCACCGCGGCTACCACCAAGGACAAGGCCGAAAGCAAGCCCGCCGAAACCAAGGTTGAGGCTGAAACCACCACCCCAGCCCCGGCCGCTGAGAAGAAGTCTCGTTCCATCAGCCGTGGCAAGCGTGGCAGCGTGTTCGGCTTCCTGAGCAAGAAGGAAGAAGAGGCCAAGAAGGCCGAGGAGAAGAAGACTGAGACCAAGGAAGAGGAGACTCCTGCCACTGAGGCCGCGGCTGCTGTCGAGCCTGCTGTCGGTGAGTAGCCTCGAGATTCTTATTAACCTAGTGAATGCATAACTGACGCAAATCCCAGATGCTCCGGCTACCACCGAAGCTACCGAAGCTCCCAAGGAGGAGGCCAAGGAGGAAGCCGCTACCCCAGCGACTGAGACTTCCAAGCCCGCTAAGCGCGCTTCCATCTTTGGCGGCCTCCAGGAGCGCGTCCAGAAGCTCCGCAGCCCCAGCCACGAGAAGAAGGAGTCTGAAGTTGTCCCGGCCGCTAAGGCGGAGGAGACCAAGGCAGAGGAAACCGCGGCTGCTGCCACTGAGCCCGCGACCGAAACCCCCGCGACCGAGACTCCTGCCGTCGTTGCTCCCGCCACGGAGGAGCCCGTCAAGGAAGCCGACAAGCCCGCTGCCGCGACTGCGACTGCTCCTGCTACTGACCGCAAGCCGTCCTTCATCTCCGGCATCTTCAAGCACAAGTCCGAGAAGTCCAAGTCTCCCACCACCGAGACTGCTCCCGTCTTGCCTGCTCCTGCTGCCACGGAAGAGACTCCCAAGCCTGCCGAGGAAGCCGCTCCTGCCGTCCCCGCTAAGGACGAGCCTACCAAGGTTGAAGAGCCCGTTAATGGCACCTCGCCAACCACCGAGACTGCTGCTCCTGTCGCTCCCACTAAATCTGAGAAGCGCAGGTCAAGCTTCTTCGGTTCTCTTGGCGGCAGCGTGAAGAAGATCGGTGAGAAGAAGCCTGCTGAGGTCAAGCCCGTGGAAGCCGCCAAGCCCGCGGAGACTGAGACTCCCGCCGCCACCGAGACTGTTGAGGCTGACAAACCCGCTGAGGCCGTTGCTGAGACCGCTACCCCTGTGGTTGCTGCCACTGAGACTCCCGCCGCCGAGGAGACCAAGTCTGCGGAGAAGAAGGAGGAGAAGACGACCAAGTCCCACGTCTCCAAGGGCCTCTCCGGACTGTCCCGCAACTTTAGCAAGATTATCAAGGGCGGCAAGGACAAGGCTGCTAAGCCTACCTCCAGTACCGAGAAGGGCGAGGCGTCCAAGCTCGCTGAGGAGGCCAAGCCCGCCGATGAGAAGGCTGTCGCGACCGAGGAAACCGCCAAGCCAGCTGAGGAGACCAAGCCTGAGACCACGACGCCGGAAGTCACGAAGGAGGAGAAGCCGGCTGCAATTGGCGATGTCACCGCAGAGAGCGTGACCGTGTCGGATCCGCCGCCAGCGGGGAAGACGGTTCAGGCGACTGCGTAGGTAGACCTTGATGATGCGAGGAGGATGAGCAGCTGAGCTGGATCGAGCTAGCTAGCTGGCTGAGCCGGATGGAGTGGAATTGAATTGAAGAGCACCTACAGCACACACATAACCAAAAGCACACTACCGCATGAGCAAAAAGAAAAGCACAAGAATTTGAGTATCATTGTCGAGCAGCATGAGATATGGTACCTTGAACCCCCCCCCCGAACAAACGACCTGACGCGACCGTCCCCTCCCCGATCTGACACCACTCCGTCCCGTTAGCATCAACCCTGGAAGTGGCTGCTAACCGCATCTCTAGCGGGCTTCCGCTCCGACCCCTCTTCCAATCTCCGGCGACGACCGCCGCAGTCCCGCTTCCCCCCACCCCCACCGAACCCGTCCCGTTCCCCGGCCCTAACCCCGTGCCCGGTCGCTCTTCCCCGCCGGACCCCTTCCGTCCTGGTGATCCTCAGCCTACGCCAACGTCGAACCCGCGCTACACACCCCACCACTCGTTCCGTCACCCCCGATCGCAGCGCATCGCGAAGCGGCACGGCAGCGGGGATGACGGTGGCGGTGGGAAGCGGACGCGGGGGAGTGAGAGGAGTGGGAGCGATCGGGGGATTGGTGGCGATGGGGTTGATGATGGTGCGATTTCGACGGCTCCCGCACCGACGCCTGAGGGGTCGATGCGTGCGAGCGATGGGTCGGTGGTGGAGGAAATAGCGCTGATGGGCCGGGATGGCTCGTGAAGGAGGATACGTATTCAGGGTGATGCTCGTGGGATACTTGGATTCTTTTGCTCGTGTGGGATGTCGTTTTTGCGCTATGGTATGGTGCGGTGTTTTTTTCTTCAACTCGATCCGGTTCGGTTCGGTTGGTTTGGTTTGACTCGGCTCACTCATGCCTTCTCCACCACACTACGGTTTCTATGTTTCTCGCGTTTTCCGGATTCTTAATGGGTTCCTTATATGATGGCATGGAGGAGAGAGTGGGAGAGAAGAATGGAAAGAAAAGGGGATGGTTTGACAGGGCTGCGAATTATACCCGATACCCCGGTCTCGTTGTTTGTTAGTTTTAGTTTTCCTGCATTCGTTCCTTGGTTGCTTTTTTCATCCTGTTTCCTATGTTCGTCAGACATCATCAACATCATCATCATCGATCCTCGACATGAACATTATGGTGGTTCGGTTTCGACTCATGAGGGTCGGTCGGGTTCGTATGGGCTCGGTCGGACTCGTGGGGCTGGATCGGATTGCGATTCCGCTGCTTTTCCCTGTCTGTTGCGTTGGCTTTGCTTATTGATACCAAGATGCTTTGCATTTCCCTGCTTTTGATCGCGCGGTGGCCGGTGGAGAGGGCCTTAATACTGGAGATAGTTTGACAATATCATTGGTTTGAGTTGCTGGGTTGTGGGGTTGGTGTGATTGTGATCGTAGAATGACCGTTTGAATATGCGTAATATGCTTGGGGACTGGTGGTATGTATCCTGGTTGGAGTTGTGAGGGCTTGGTCTCCAGTGAAGAATTCTTGGATCCGGTGAACGGTGTCCTCATATTTCTAGGTGGGATGAACTTTCATTCAGGATCGAAATTTGGGGAGTTAAGGCACCGTTTTGGCAGTTCAGTATAAAGGAAAATGATGTGGTTACTTCTTCGAGTCGAGTGATATTGATACATGCCGTATTTCTCCAACATGAGGGTATATACGGCCTTAACGTAGTGTACATAACCGTCTCTACGTCAACGTCCATCTTCTCTTCCTCGCGCCTCCTCACTCCCAAATCCCAAACCACTTCTTCGGCTTCTTCCTCGTCTCCAAATCCTCCCCCTGCCCCACCACTGCCACCGGACTCGCCCCATCCACCGCGCTCTCCACCCCCTTCTCCCCCTCCTCCTCCATCCCAAACTTCACCCCCAACACCTCGAACCCCTCCGTCTCCCCATGCACCTTCCGAAACTCCCTCCTTCGCTCTGCATCCTCTTGCCGCTGCCGTCTCCGTTCCGCGACCTCCTGGCTGCGGCGCTCGGCGGTGAGGCGGTACATGGCGAGGTACTGCGGGATGGTACGGATCGGGTGGGTGATGAGGTGGGAGGGCGGGGGGAGGTCGACGGCGAGGGCGAGGGGGTCGGATTGCTGGAAGGTGGAGAGGCGGTTGTGGAGCATGGCGAGGGTGAGGGAGAGGAGGACGGACTGATTGCGGGATTAGCGAGCCAACGTTAGAATAGATAATTGAATACGTACCATCGATATCCATACGTGGATGCTCCGATCCGACAGGAACCAGTGCAGAAACGACCCCTCCGGCGGCATCATCCGCGGATATTGCTTCGTCTTCTGCGTCTGCGCCTCCGCCTCCGTCAACGACGGCCCATATCGCGTGGCATCGGGTCGCCGTCGGGGTAGCCGCGCGCCATGCGATGGGGGTCGGAACGCGTCCGGTTTTTCGAGCACGGGAGCTTTTGATTTGGGTTTTCGGGCGGCGGGGCGTAGGGCGCTGGTTGTGAAGGGGGAGGGGGTAGGTCGGGGGAAGCGGGCGTGGAGAATGGGGGAGAGGGAGGGGCGGTGGAAGAGGGGTTGGAGGCGACGTGGAAATGTCATGGCGGAGGGGATGGGCCCAATTGACGGGCTCATGTGAGTTTAAGGGGTCCAGATGAGGGAGGAGAAGTTGACGAGGTTCGGGAGAGAAATGTGATGAACTGATGATGGAGGTTGGTGAGAGGAAATATTGTCTCGGCGGACTAGGCGCGCCATTGCTGCAGTATCAGATCCACGTCGCGATGGGCGTCAACATATATTTACACTTATTCAAAAATCGAAATCCAAAAAGCTATTCAGAACCGAGATTTGGCGCCATTTCATGCTTAGTTGCCCACAATGTACGGCGAGTTAGGCCTCAAGCTGGTAACTTCCATGTATCCTTTCCCAAACGATCATATCACTCACCCCCGCTCCAGGTCCGAGACGCCAAACGCGTCCAAAACCTCCCCTCCCTCCCCTCCTACCAAACCGACCTCGTCCGCTCCACCGTCCGTGAAGTCCGCGATCTCGACCGCGACAATGCCCGCATCCTCGAACCCTACACCTCCGCCTCCCAAGCCGGCACACCCTCCACCTTCAACCCCCAGGACGACCCAGCCACCGCATGCGCCCTCCTCGTGAACCACCTCGCCATGCGCCGGAACAAGCGGTGCTTGCTAGCGTATCACCGAGTGCGTGCGCAGAAATTGGAGGAGGCGTGCTGGGCGGGGGTAGATGTGTTGGATCGGCAGGCGGGTGGGGACGGCGCGGGGAACGGCGAAGAAGGAGGGCAGGGAGGTGCGGCGGCGATGAATTTGAGTCCCGAAGAAGAGGAGTATGTGAGGCGCTATTCCGATCTGCTGGCAGCGTATAAAGGACAATGGACGGATATCGACCTGACGGGGAGCTTGGAGCCGCCGAGAGATTTGTTTGTTGATGTGAGGGTATTGAAGGATGCGGGGGAGATTCAGACGGAGTATGGGTATGTATCAACCGGTTTCCAATTGTTTCGTATTCGCCATTTATTCCAGATGTATTTGGAAGACTAACGTGCGGACAGCGCCATCACACTGTCTAAAAACAGCCAGCTCTATGTCAAGGAAAGCGACGTCGAGCGACTCATCCAACAAGGCTATCTACAGAAGCTGAGCTAAACCGACAAAAGACACCTCATCTATGCGAGTGGATCCTCACAACCCGTGCAAGATGCTCCTCAGGAGGACTTGCTGCGCAACATCCACCCCGGGGCTATCCTTGACGATGCTCACGCGGTTTCCGGAATTCCAGCTCAGCCAATCGCCCGAGTCTCCAGGAATCTCCCCACGCTCATCGTCCTCCTCACGACGCTTCCTCGGGCGTCTGTCAATGACGCACATCCCTTTGGTCCATTGGCCGGATGTCTCGATGCGCACATCAGTCGGCTTGGAGAGCGTCCACCCGCCAGCTGCTTCGGAGAGGAGGTACCTGTTGCAATCGTCATGAATACCATATTGTTGAAGCGGATGGTGAGAGGCGAAAACGACAACTTACCAAATGGGCAGTGGATCGTGAAGATTCAATCCCACCTCCTCCGGCCGGAGATGGTACAGCTCCTCGGCTTTTCGAAACGTCGATTCGAGAAATGCGGACATCCAATGAGCCAGCGGCGATCCATCTTCAAGTGGCTGCTTCATCATCTTGTCCCAATACTGGCGTGTCAGGTTATGGGTCGTCGTGATATCTCGGCCTCGTCAGTACGCTCCACACCTACTAGAAAAACAACGCGAAGAATGGCATGGAACTTCCGTACGTACCCAAAGGAAACAGCTTCAACTCCAACCTCCTACCCAACGTTGCCGGATACGCAGCCAGGCAAGGGTCTTCAGCGACCCCAGCCTCCTTAGCAGGTGGCACTAGAGGCATGGTGCTCAGCGGCTTCGGGGACGAAAGCGCGAAGACCCGAGCAGCAGCGATCGAATCGGCGTAAATATTAAATTCTGCAACGGGGTTCATCTGGTTTCTGATATTCAGCGATATTCGATATGGAGAGGGGGGTTCGGGAATTTGGTGGGGAGGGGAAGTGGTGGTGTCTGCCTCTGCCTCCGCCACTTGCTTTGGCACGACGAATGACGGGAAATGTCAAGGAGCTGGGAATATGCCTGGGATGATAGGGATTCATTTACATTTCCTTCGAGTTCCACCGCCCCGCCCATGGTGAGCACTTGCTTGGCGCGCAGGAACGTCTCCGGGTCGACTGCCGCTGCATGAGCGGCGTTCGTCAAGGGCCCGATGGTCACGATCGTGATGGTGTCGGGTGGGTTGTCCCGGAGGATCTGAAGGATTTCTTCATGGGCGGGCCGTTTGGAGGGGATGAAGAGATTGGGGGGGTTTTGGTCGCGGATGGCGTCGTCGTCGGCGGCTTGGGATGATTGGAAGAGATGTCTCCATGTCGCTTCCGGGGAGAGATGAGGATGCTGGGAGTTGTGTCAGCGTAAGGCTTCAAAAAGGCTTCGAAGACACCACGTCTACGAGACGGCAGCGAAGGATACCGTACAGTATGATGGATACCCCCAAGTCCGTCGATCCCGTCTAGGTTCCTTCAGTCTCTGCCATGTGCTATGTCACATCAAGGGGAGACACTTACGGTAGTAGTCCGCCAATATGATTTGGGCTGCGAGGGGTCCCACAGCGCCTACGGCCACTAGCACCAGTTAATACTTCGATCACCAATATATATAAAGGGATTTGTACCAATCGGCTTCCTTGCGTCCAATGCATCAAAGCCCTCGGGGAGACCTTTAGACTTTCTCCATTCCCGCTCTTTCTCCACGTGGTGGAAGAGGGAGACCACATTTCGAAGACAGCTGGACTCAAATGGTCACCAACAGGCTAGAGAGAACGCAAAGGATAGGATTACACACTTTTCGACATCAATATTCCCATATGTGAGGGAAATCAAAAGAACTTCCAAGTCCTCTGGTGACGCCGATAGTGCGAGCAGCAATGCTAAGATATCGTCTATTCCCTATAGTATGCGCCTCAGTCGCGTATACTGACAATAGCAAGGGTATTCTACTCAAGTACCGGGTCTGTATCGATGATAATCCTATGTCGAGCCATATTGCGTGTATTAGTGCGTTATTATCCGATAATATTGATACTATGTCAGTGCTAAACCTGTTCCACGGTCCACCAAGCCTCGCTCGCGTTTAGAGTTTAGATGGAGTTAGTAATGGACAACCTCGGCAGCCTCCCGCTCTCTAACTTCATTCAATCCTGGCACCCCGCGCGGTATTGGCGGTAATAGCAGTGAGACTCCGAGTCGTACATCAAGTCCGATGGCGCCTCCGTTGGTTCTTCTATTTTCTTTGAATATATCCTATATTTGCTATATTTGAACTACTGTACTCTATAATCTACAATGCCGTCCCCTGGAAAAGTCGCCGCGCCTCAGGCAGTGAGCGAACAGCTCGCCAATGGCCCGCAGGATCCGGGAATGTTCGAGGATATCCAAAAGATTCGGAGGATCGCTGGGGATTCGGCTGGCCCGTAAGTTTAGTTCGTACATGTCGATATGGCAGAAGCTGAGCACGAACAGGCGCGTGAAAGACAAGGTGGTCATCGTCACCGGTAAGCATTCCACTGCCATTGGGATCTCACCGAAGCTGATGTCGTTCACAGGATGCAACTCTGTCCTTGGAATCGGACGCGCTTCCGCGCACCAATTCGCTCACAACGGAGCCAAGGCCGTGTTCCTCTGCGATTTCAGCGACCAATATCTCCCTACCCACAAACGAGAGCTCGAATCGCTCTACCCCAATGTCGATGTCCACATTCGGCAATTCGACGCGGCTAATGAGGATGCAGTAAAGGGCGTGGTGCAGGAGGCCCTGGACAAGTATGGCCGACTAGACGTCTTCTTCGCGAATGCGGGCATCGCGAACGCGCAGGTATTCTGGGAGGAGGAGGCAGATACGTTCATGAACATGATGAGGACGAATGTGCTGAGGTAACTCCCTCTCCACCTCTGCTCTCCCCGAACGAGCGACATATTCTAACAACTTTCTCTCCAGCGTCTTCCTCGCCGCCAAACACGCTTCCATCGCCATGCGCAAAACCTCCGCCTCAAAACCCTTCCCCTCGGGCTCCATCATCGGCACCGCCTCCGTCGCCGGCCTGCGCTCCAACGCCGGCGCCACCGACTACTCCGCCTCCAAAGCTGCCGTCGTCTCACTCATGCAAACCTGCGCGTACCAGCTCGTGGGCTCCGGGATCCGCTGCAACGCCATCTGCCCCGGCGTCATCGAGACGGGGATGACCGCCGGCATGTACTCGGCGGCACGTGCGCGAGGAACGGAGAAGAAGATTGGCCAGCTGAATCCGCTACGAAGAGGCGCGGCGGCGGATGAGGTCGCGCGTGTGGCTCTGTTCTTGGGGAGCGATGAGGCGAGCTATGTCAATGGACAGGCGTGGGCAGTTTGCGGTGGTTTGAGCGCTGGTCATCCATACGTGTTGGGTAAATTGTCATGAGGGACTGATGGCATCCTAGGATGGCGGATTAGGTTTGCTATTTCTGTAAAACGAAAACACCGAGGCATCCGTTGGTACTGCGCCGATTTGCATGCTACGGACTTTCCTTGACACAAATTGGGCTGTGAAGCAATGCGCTTTAGCGTGTACAAAAATCTACAATTCATCTCGCACCCAATTCCCAATGTACCTTGATATTTTGGTCATCGTCTGTTCATGTATCGGTTTTATGCCAACCCTTCCAGAGTCCTACCATACTTATCTCCAAATCGCCCGTTTGGCCGCAGCGCGAACATGACTCACCCAAGCAGCGAAGGGTCCTAACCCTATCGTCAAAGTTTGTTCTTCGTCACCTTCAGCAGAATAAAGTCTATGCATGCACCAGACCAACGCTATTGGACCTAATAACCTCATGAATGATGTTGGACGTCAGGGAATGGAGTTCCCGCTGGATTCATGCGTTGGTACTTCTTCTGTTCGTTCTTTCGATCGGTTCGACAATTCACTCACACTCATGGCCAATCCCTTGCCACCTATTGATATGATCATTCTCACATGGCCACAAATGTCACGCGTCCTATGACTGTTGCGGTAAATATCTATTCTCATGGCTGCCCTGCATGGTAGCGTCGTTTCTGTTGTCGCCTTCCCCTCAGTACTCAGTTGTACTTAGTCTTGGAACCACTATTCGAGCCGGTACGAACAACGAATTTATCTAAAAGATAGGGCTGGCTGTTCATTAAGAGGCAGTATCCAGGACGAACTGAGAACTGCGTGGAAGAGATATCTATGAAAATCCAAAGGTTCCTGTCCCCTAAACGACGTATTATACCATCCAGGTGTCTGGTAAGGGTCGAGTTTCCGTTTTGTCCGACGATTCCGATAATTTTGTTCCTTTTTCTGGACTTTGAACCTAGCCTTAAATCATGGCACCGACAACATCCGCCATCCCAGTAAGCAGGTACCGGGAATGAATTTTAAGATCAAAGTTGACCGATAAGACCACAAACTCTATCCGCTCCACCTCCCCGATCCATACAGCAACATGGTCTTCGGTATACCCTGCTTACTTCGGCAGATTCCCAAATGCAGCGAACCACGTTTCCATCCCATCGTGGATCGGAGCAACCGTCGGCGCAGCTACGGCCGGTAAGTGTCCCAGCGCAGCCATCCCACTCCCCTCCTCTACGTAGTCCTTGACTACTCGGAACGTTACTAAAGCAATACCTAGGCCTTGTCTTCGGGCTCCTCATCACCGGATGCGCAGTGTTCCTGAGGTCTCAGAGGACCCCCTCCAAGTCCGCAATGAAACGTACCGCACACCATAGCCGCGAGGCGCTTGCTTCCCGCTCTTCCATGCATCCAGACTTCCGTGGACCACCAACGAGCCGATACCTGAGCCCGGTTGTGGAGGAGTCACTGCGGGGAAAAGAAAAGGAGTCGGAAGACGGGCAGGGTGTTGGTCATTCTACTGCGAGGGAGGGAAGTTTCACTCCGGGATTTGTTGAGGTGTCCCAGGAAACGTATGGACGATATAACGTGGGCAAGAGATGATGTAGCGTGCTGGGCTTGAGGGAATGATATCAATCAAGGAATTACCTAGCGTAGTGAGGATTCAGTACAATATCAGAGGATGGGGCGAGAGTCTTCCCTTGAGTGAAGTTGATGCGACTTTTCTTCCGGAGTTGAGACGTCTGGGCATCAGTACATATGGAGACGGGGGCGAGATGTAGGGATTTGGTGTATTCATTTAGGTATGTATGATTAGTTTCATGTATACAATGCTAGTCAGATGCTCACTGTCGTCCATGAACGCCATGAATTGCTCAAGTGGTTGATTTTTGAACCAAATTATCGTTACGACACTGTAGAACGATCTAATTATGAGCATCCTATATTACATTATATCAAAACTATCAAAGTGGGATTCCCAACCGCTTAGTCCAACTAAACTCCTGGTGCTAGTCCTGCTCAGGCAGCATACGCCTTGATCGGTGGCTCGGCATTGACCTTCGCTGGATATACGATAATGGCCACAACCGATATAATGTTATTACCTAAGGCATAATTAGAATGGTTCAATAGTCTGGCTCTTGGTCCTTAGCTCACCTTCCGTCGCAACGATGTCAGCCGTGGTCAACCCATCGGCGGCCAGCTTGAGGCATTCAGTCGCCATGTTAATTCGACTGACTTGCCCGGGCCCCGGATTCGTCAATGCATCCACCGCAAGCGCATGACTCACAGGGTTGAACAGCATACCCTCGTGGCTGTAGCTAACACCCGGAGGCAGGCCTGGGCAGACGGTCTGGATCTGGTTGTTCGTGACGCCAACCCCGCGAGCATCCAAGAGATATGCCGAAGCGCCAGTACCATCCTGTGGCTGGACGACCTGGTCGGTATTGGTGTAGATCGTGGTGGTTGGGACGTAGGCGGAGTCGCCACCATTGGATCGGAGCGTGGTGATGAAGTTGGAGTTGTAATCTTGCTGCACGATGGCGGGGTTGCATGATTCGGTCGGGTATCCTGGGCAAGATGGGAGGGCAGTCACAGTGCCATGGAAGTCCGGAGAAATGGAGATCAGGTCGGAGGTTATGGCGCGGGTGCTTGGCCAGTATTTAAACGCCCATTGCGCTGAGACGGTTAGTATTGTTGCTACCATATCTCCGCTAGATTGACTTACCGTCGAGGTTGCCTTGAGACCAAGCAATGACGCTCACATTCTTGTTCTGCGAGATTCCTGAGATGTAGTTGATCGCATAAGCGACGAACTCCGCATTCTCTTGCGCATCGTTTAGCAGGAAGCCCGGAATGTTCAACCAGACAGGGTCAGCGTATGCCACATTCTTAAACAGCTTCCTGAAATTGCCGCCGAAGCTGATCCCTCCAGTTGACCCAGTTCCGGGGACCATGAGGAGAGGTGGTTTCTGGCCATATGTAAAAGAAGATGGGATACGGATCGCTCCTCGAAGGATGATTTCGGGGATCGAGTATGGCGCATCCGACGGCGACTTCTTGGGGAATATCCGATCACCCTGGGGGGATCGAAGATTGATGTTGAACGGCGAGTTGTCTCCAATGGAGTAGGTGGAGAGAATAGAACTGATGTCTCCTGGAGCAAAGCCTGCCGCGATCAACGCCACTGCAAGGTCATATATGCCGTCGCCGATCTGGAGGACCAGTGTTATTGAAGCAAGCGCCTCTGTGAAGGATCAGCAAAGTATCATACGACAGGTCGAACCACTAACCTTCAATTGATTGGGGCGCTGGTCCAGCTTGAGTGTTCTGAAGCTGGGCTAAGAGCTCCAACGAGCGATCCGAGGCGCCTCTCTGGACGATCTCTCTTTCAAACTCCCAACGAGCCTCGAGATCGCTCGCGGTAGGAGCTGACAGGACAGATCCAACCAGGCTCGAGAGAGCCACAGCAGCAAGAGTAAACCGCATATTGAAGACTGGTGATCGAAGATGAACTGGTTGAAATCCACTTCTGCTTCTTCCTAGCTCTTCTCATCTATATGTATTTATACTTCCCCATTCCGTCCATACCGGGCAAGGTACCGCTCTACCGTACCTTTCCCTATTCCTCTCCTGGCCCCGGATTCGGTCCGCATTCCGTCGTGGCCACGGTGCTTGGGAATAAAATTACGATCCTAGCGCCACAGCTGATTCCAGAAGGCTTGCATGGCTGTTTTGCAGTCGCCAGTCTGACCATCCGGTCACTGACGGTTGTTGAACAGTTTTGATTGTTAAAGGAATAGGACCTGCATTAGCTCGAGCTTGGGCAGGTTCGAGGCTCGAGCAAAGAACTTGCATGGGGCGCGTAAGAGAAAATGGAGATATCTCCGGATTTGCTTCGCTTAGGGGCTTCTGGAAGGGCGGATAGCGTTCGACGGAGACGCTAATGCGGAGAATGACTAGGATGATGTCTCGTGGTGCAATTGTCGACTTCCTTATTTCCTGTCTTTAAATTTTCATACTCTGGTCTTCCGTCGAGGTCTAGTATTGACACCAAGAAAGAAAATCCTATGAATATAGAGTTCTTGATATTGAGCCGGTGCGTCGAAGATAACTTGAAAGGCACATACTTACCTACATGGTAGAACAACCCCAAGAGCTTTTTTGGTGTGCTTGCGATAGGAAGGCCAACAATCTTCCACTCCTCATGAATCATCTCACGCGTGACAAGGTGACGAAGTTGGCTATTGGCATTACCATTTACCAGACGCCAGGTCTGCGATGCGCCGATACCTTCCGGGGTGTTGATACCTGGGACATGCGGAGTCAATAGACTAGGAACATGGAATGTGTCGAACCCTCGAACTGCAAAATAAGCCATGTAACCCTGCTCCAGGGACCAGGCCTGGAGGATTCATCCGCAGCTTGGAGTCTGGACTCTGGAGTGCACCTGTACTTATTCTGGCTCCCCAAAAGCTGCTTGTATTGTTGACCTCACCATCGGGGCGTAGTCTTGTAGAAGCCGATCTCCAAGTATGCCAGAGAGCACGTAGAACTCTCTTGTTCTGGCCTTTCCGTGCCATATTAATAAATGAGCCTCAACCGAGGCATGACATTCTTGAAGGCTAACAACCATTCGGAATTTGCGGAGTACTCTTAGCGCAACTGAAAATAGTGTGGGGTTTCAAGAGTCGGATTCCTCATTGCACCAAAGGGAAGCACTGATGCATTCCTAAACTAGGCACCAGCATCGTCTGTCAATTCACGCTCAAGTCTCAAAACCATGGGATCGGGTTATCGGATATCATCCGACGGTTCCCACCATCGCGACTATTGAAAGTATCTGCGCGGTCCTGGCTGGGGAATTATACCTCCTGGGTAGGCGAACTGAGCTTTGCGTCGAGAAGAAACTCTGCAGTTCTTCCATCGTAGCGATCACGGCTGCGTTCTTACTTCCTAGAGGAGATCGGAAAATATGCTGCACGTGGTTCCTAGCGTGGTTGTCTATTGTTCTAGATTCTGCGATCGTGTTTGTGCGCGAGATATAGTTCTCAAATGCAGTCCCGGAAGCTTGGTCTAACTTTTCGTAAGACCACGCAATCACCGAATCCATCATCCACGATGTGGGAGGGATGCTCCGGATCGATTCTCCACAGTCCCTATCGGCATGTCGCCTGTGCCGAATGGGGCGCTCCGCTGCTATCCGCACTGAAAGCAGCGTCTTGAAGGCGCAATGGACTCGGTATTCCGCTCAATGAAGGCGTCGACTGCGCCGATTCCTATCATATCTGCACGGTTGAGCGTCGAAAGGCAATAAATATGTACTGTTGTCGAAGCATTCAACGGTAGTCCAAGGACTCATGCGCCACCGCCCTACCACCCATCTCGAGCGCCGTGGCAAGCTCGATTCAAACTTCGTTTGAGTCGAGATGGGCGGGTATCCGGTCCGAATTCGAGGATCTCGACATGTCTTTTGGAGAGACGCGTCAAGTTCACTTGCTGTGGAGAGGAGATGGAGTGACGGTCAAGCAATATGGTGCAGCATGATTATTAGAGAAGGAGAGATGCATCTGAGGGACTCTTCGATGGCATTGAATAAGCAAACTACCCTCTGCCCGCCTTATTAACGCCACAGTTGAAAAGTGGCTCCCCCCTAGGATACAGTCCTTCATCTTGGAGTATCTCTGTGAAGAAGTTCCATAGAAAGTCATATACCCCGTACCTCGACAGTCGACAACAATGTCTTATCTACAAGTACATATTTCATCTCGAAAGAGGGCTCTCGCAAAATATACTCAAAAGGTGCACGTTGCACAGGAAGCAATGTTTGAGAAACCCTTCCTGTGAGGCATAGAGACCCACAGACTTGGCGTAACAGTAATATCCCCTTTGTCGTCGTCGCTGAAGTGCACAACCTAAACCCATTTAGTTAGCGTAATCTCCCCCGAACCTCATCAAAACTCCGTGATCGAGCAGAACAACTAGATTCGCCCAGAAATACACCATAAATGATAGGGATATAGGAATATCAAATTGTATAATACAGATACAGTGTGACAGCCTTGGGCTTCGCCCAGTCTGTGTGTTGTGGCCTTGCGGCCTAAGGCAGAAGAGCAAGGGGGGGCGCTTACTCATCGCGCGGGGGCAGATGAGCGGCCCTCCACCAAAATTCTGTACCTTTGGGCTCTTATAAACCTATGAAAATCTTATTAAATTATATGTAGTAAAGTTGGAAATTTTGGTTGGAAGTTGCCAGTTATTGATCCGCGAGATGAGTAAGCGCCCCCCCTTGGAGATAGGTAGACCTTTTGCTCACAGAGGTAAATAGCAGATCGCAGTGAGAGAGATCTTTTCCTTTTCTCTTTAGCAATTCAACAGCGTTACCAGCTTACTAAATCCTTGGTGGTTTAGGCCTATGACATACAGAGTTCAATAGATATTGCAAGCACATTTTCTCTATTAAAAAAAAAGGGCTCAGTACGAGCGCGGTGCCTCGTCCAGATGTTCCGACCAACAAACATAGCCAACTTTTGCAGAGGGGGATCTCGCAGCGCCGGCATCCATACCGGGTCCGGGGGGGCCCTGTTGGGCGCCCATCGCGCCCATTTGGGGACCCACGAATCGTATTGATTGAGAGCCCTGTTAGGGCCTTCCTGGGTGCCCCGGAGGGTGCCCGGCGATCAGCATCGATACACACAATACAGGTGCGTGGGTTATTCCAGAGCGTTTCAGGGCACTCATCGTGATATCTAGGAATTACGCGGCATACGGTAGACCGGAGCGACTGCTTGCTCTGTGGGCGCGAAGGTCTGGCGAAGGAAGAGGAAGGAGTAGCACGACTAGATGAGATTGGTTGCTCAGAACGCTCAAAAAGCGCGGTGATTACGCCTATACGAAACTAGTTGTGACCCATCGTGGATGCCCCACCTTCCCTCCCTTTTGGTGGTGTTGTTGCGAGCTTGTATACGTTGCATACCGCGATCTCAACGAGATAATAAAAAAGAGGTTTCCACGTCTTGTTCGACCGCCTCTGGATAAGCCAGCGTGCCCTCAATTGATCAGCGATATCAACCCCGTTCATATGGTGATTATATTCGTCGGTAAAGGCAGGAATCGGTAGGATCTTCGTGAATTCTCCCGGTGCGAATAGAGTGCGTACTTGTTGGGCGGAACTGGTGTCTTTTGGGCGCCTTCGTTGGCGGTCTACCAGTTTGGTCGCTGTGCTCAATTAGCGAAACTGAAAAAGGTGAATTTTAAGGTATTCGATGGAAGCCGTGATCCCGATATGGCACGGTTTAGGATGTCCTAGAATCTATGATTCTCTCATAGATTCTAACCTCCTCCCCTATGTGATGGAACACCCACCGTGCTGGGGCGAATTCGAGGTACTTCGACTTCAAACTAACTCAGAGTACCCACACATTGAAATTCTTATAATTATATGTAAATTGCGGTCTTTAACCTCTTCCTGACACACGAGACTGTGCCTACCTTAAATATTACAATAACTTGGTTGCTAAGTAGCTGATTTCCGTAGAGTACCCGAAAATGCGTCTTTAGTGTTATGGTCCCAGGCCTGCGGCCTGTTCCCTTGGTTGTGGCTGAAGACGTGGCTGGTGGGTTATATCAGAGAAGCAAACAAACATGGTAACACAGCATTAGGGCATTGGAGAGGAGAATCGCTATCTCGTGCACAAAAGGTGCCGGGAGATTTCTTCTCTCTCTCTCTCTCTCTCTTCAGTTTAGATTAATGGAACTTGGTAATCGCAGACCTTGCGCATCCAGACCGTGTCATTTAGACGCCGTGGCAATATTTCCATGGTACTCCGTACAGCGTCACCATCATCTTTTTTTTCTTCACGAATGACATAGGAAGAACGAGTCCAAGTCAAATAATCCTGTTAAAATGCTACAAAGCCGTCCAAAGTATACGTTCTGTTGCAAGCAATTTCAGTTTTTTCCACTACGCAGATCGGTACTTGTGGCTGATCAAACTTCCACTTTTGGGCGATTCAGACTGGCAAGGGATTAATAATACGCACGTATTTATCGTAAATTACAGTCATTAAAGCAGATTCTCTAATCTACCATAGCCTTGACAGACTAACCCTCTTAGGTGATGCGGAGCTCCTGCGAGACGGAACGAGGTTCATAATAGTAGATAGACGGGAGAAGCATGCAGCTCAGCCTTGCGCATCCCAAAAGCTCCGCACAGCCTTGTGCCTGGTCACATTGTCCATGGCAGTCCATCATGATACGCCTAGAATTCTGCTAACATGGCGCTCGAATGTCCCAGACTAGTTGTCACGATTCCTCGATAATGACAATATCTGTCGATTACTGCGGCCAACGATGCACCTCTTAAAGCTCGACGGCAACGGCAGGTTCATTCTGGAGACCTTCAGAGCCACGGCCACGATCCCTCCTTATGCCATACTTTCTCATACATGGGGAAGTGACAACGATGAAGTCACATTCAAGGACATCTGGGACCGTGCTGGAAAGAAGAAGGCTGGATACCAGAAGCTGATATTCTGCGAAGGTCAAGCCAAATCCGACGGTCTATCCTATTTCTGGATAGACACATGCTGCATCAATAAGGCAGACTTCACCGAACTCTCAGAAGCCATCAACTCCATGTTCCGCTGGTACCGCGAATCTACTCGGTGCTATGTGTACCTTTCGGACGTTCCTGACCGTCAAAATCCTGCTGCTACAGAAGAATTAGCCTTCCCGAACTACAGGTGGTTTAAGCGAGGATGGACACTTCAAGAACTTCTAGCGCCGTCATCAGTCCAATTCTTCTCTTGGAAAGGCAAGCCTTTGGGAAGTAAAAAGTCACGAGAAGAAGAGATTCGTCAGATAACCGGCATTGCTATCGAAGCCCTTCGGGGAAAGCCTCTGTCTCAATTCAGCCCGGACGAACGGCTATTATGGGCAGCAAAACGCCAGACAACCGTAGAAGAAGACGCCGCATACTGTCTCCTGGGCATTTTCGATATCCAGATGCCGCTCATCTACGGCGAGGGGCAGAAAAAGGCACTGGACCGGCTTAAGAGGAAGATACAAAAGTCTCAAAACCAAGCACTAACGAGCCCCAAACAAGCTCCCTGGATCGTGCAATTTGAAAGGAACCCGCGCTTCACAGGCCGCGGATCTCAACTTGCTGAGCTAGAAGGGATGATATTTGCCAAAGATAGCACTACAAAGGTTGCCGTCACTGGGCTTGGCGGCGTAGGTAAGACTCAGCTTGTGCTCGAGTCGCTCTTCCGAATAAAATACGAGCACCATGACTGTTCTGTCATCTGGATACCGGCAACTAACACGGAAAGTCTCCATCAAGCATACCTTGACGCTGCTCGGCAACTTGGCATACCTGGGTGTGAGGACGACAAGGCGGACGTAAAGAGGCTGGTGCAGGCGCATCTAAGCGAAGAAACTACAGGCCAGTGGCTGCTAGTGTTCGACAATGCAGATGACTGGGATATGTGGATTACCAAGGCTGGATCTGGGCTTCAGTATGGGCAGGAATCGCACCCTTTAATAGACTACCTCCCGAAGAGTAAGAAAGGAGCGGTTGTATTCACGACGCGCGACAGGAAAATAGCTGTCAAGCTCGCACAACAGAACGTCGTGGACGTTCCGGCGATGGGAGAAGATGCGGCTGCCCAACTTCTAGGGAAGTGCCTGATCAAGCCGGATCTCGTCAACTGTCGAGAAAACACTAGTGCGTTGCTTTTACAACTCACCTACCTTCCGCTAGCCATTGTTCAGGCAGCAGCGTACATCAACGAGAATGCGATATCAATTGCAGACTATCTTTCACTCCTGGCTGAGCAAGAGGCGGGGGTTATTGAACTTCTTAGCGAGGAGTTTGAAGACGATGGGAGGTATCGCTACGTCAACAATCCGGTTGCCACAACCTGGCTGATTTCGTTTGACCAAATCCGGCGGCGCGACGGGCTGGCGGCTGATTACTTATCGTTCATGGCCTGTGTAGAGCCAAAGGACATTCCGCAGTCTCTTCTTCCGCCAGGAGCGTCGCGGAATAAGGAGACGGGCGCGATCGGAACGCTCAACGCGTATTCGTTCGTCAACAGACGACCGGCCGACAAATGCCTCGATCTCCATCGGCTGGTGCATCTAGCAACGCGGAACTGGTTACGGAAAGAGGGGCTGCTTGCGCAATCAACCGAGAAAGCTATTGTGCGACTAGAAGAAGTTTTCCCAGATGATAACCACGAGAACCGAAGCGTCTGGAGGGCTTACATGCCCCATGCGCGCTATGTGCTAGAGTCCAATCTTGTGAATAAAGATTGGAAACCCAGGATGGATCTTATGTGGAGGTACGGAATGTGTCTTTACGAGGATGGGCGATGGACTGAGGCTGAAGAACCGATTAATCAAGTGTTCAATATGGAGAAGAGGGTGCTAGGCGCGGAGCATCCAGACACATTGACCAGCATGGCTAACCTGGCGTCGACGTACAGGAATCAAGGTCGATGGAAGGAGGCCGAAGAGCTGGAGGTGCAAGTGATGGAGACGAAAAAGAGGGTGCTTGGCGCAGAGAATCCTTCCACGCTGACCAGCAT